TGGCATCTTTATTAATGATTGAAAAGAGTCAATCAATTGATATATTAGGAAAAAGGACTGTTATAATAACTGTAAACCATTTAACGTATATAATGCTATTAGACATTCTACTAATCATATATTTAAATTGTTATAATAATTATAATTATAAATAGTATCATTATTACAAATGTAATACATTTATATTAGTATAATAATGCTATTAATAATAATAATAATAGTAGTAATATGAATAATAGTAGTAGCAGTAGTAGTAAATACTTATTATTTTGTACTAGTCTGTTCATATTTTTAAAATAAAATTTTTATTATTGCCATCATCATTAATGATCAAATAAAGAAAAATCTTTATAACTATATAGACTTTTTGGTGATGTTAGTTTGTTTAATTCATGATTGTAATACGTGTTTATTTAAAATACATATATATTATTCATAAAATGTAGTTTGTTTTGTGGGATAGACTATTTAGTGCAGGGGTGTCCAAACTTGGTCTTGGAGGGCCGGTGTCCTGCATAGTTTAGCTCCAACTTCTTTCATCAACACACCTGTATGTCAGTTTCTAGTATAGAAAGAGATTGATTAGCTGCTTTAGGTGTGTTTAATTGGGGTTGGAACTAAAATATGCAGAACATTGGCCCCTCCAGGACCGAGTTTGGACACCCCTGATTTAGTGTATTCTGATGTAATTAGTTGACTGATTGGTGTGATTATGCATTCCCAATGGTATGAACCATTATAGGGGTGGTCAAATGAATTTCTATCATTTTAATTATTAACATTATTATTTAAAATACAGATTAGAGTGAACTTGTTTCTCAATTTCAAAGCAATGAACAACCCATACATATTGTTTTGATGTCCTTTGGAGGGTATCAAGCTTTATTTGGAGGGTAATTCACCCCCTAAACCTCCCTGTAATGGGCACCCTGGTTGTAATCGCATTATATAAGTAAATGTTATTTCATTATTATTATTATTATTACAATAATAATAAAATTATACTATTACTACAATAATAATAAAATGTATTATTAATAATATTAATTATTATTAATAATAAAATATTATTTTTAATAATAATAAATGTTAATATGATTATTAGTAATAGTATTATTATTATACATTATTATTTCATGCAGCATCTGTGAAATTACAAAATTTTTATTTTTGCTAGTTGTTTTCTTTTAAAATAAATAAAAAAATTAACATCCATTGTATGAATATAGTTCATCAAATCACATTTGAATAAAAACCAACAAGCCAAGAGCATTAACAAGAGCTTTAAACCACATGACGGCAACAAAAAAAAAAAAGAAAAGAAAAAATCCTCAGAATAAGATCTCAAGCCAATCAGCCAGGCCTAATTCACCACGAGCTGCGACTTCATTTCCCCTCTCACTTTAACATCAGCACTCTATCAAGATCAAGAATAAAATTCAATAAGGGGCCATAACGAAGCGGATCTCGTTCTGTCAGGAGAGGTAGGGACGAGAGAATCAGATTTATTTCCTCCAGCACTTATCCAGCTTTTCATATTGGGGCAGGCCAGAGGGACGTGGGCTCTAATCCCTGCGAGATGGAGGAACGGCAGGGGAGAAGCAGATCCTCCGGGATACAGAGAGCACCCGTTCCCGTCTCTCAGGGATTAGACCTGCCGTTTGCAACTTACTTCTTGAAATTACCCCACAGATTCGGGTTTTTGTGGCCTCAATGAACAGGCAGGGGATGCGGATGCTACATTTCGGGTGGAGCTGAGATGAATGAGCCTCTGCCTTCTGCTCATATACAGTTAAAGTCAAAAGTATTAGAATTTTTTGTGTTTCTTCTTCAAATATTTCCCGAATGATGTTTAACACAGCAAGAATGTTTTCACAGTATTTTTTATCATATTTTTACTTCTGAATGAAGTCTTTTTTGTTTTATTTTGGCTAGTTTTTAATTTTTTTAAAAACATTTTATGGTCAATATTATTAGCCCCCTTAAGCTATACGTGTTGGGGGGAAAAATATGCTGGGGGCTAATAATTCAGACTTCAACTGCAACTGTATTAAAAAAGGGTGATACAGGTTAGCCTGGTCGAGCTGGAGAAGAATTTCTGTATGCATTTTTTATGCCAGATTTTATGCCAGATTATTTTATGAATATGACACCCCTTTCAATAAAGGAGTGAGTCTGATTGATGCTTTTACAGTGTGAATTATAGTGCAAAAATAAACCATATGGTCTCAATTTATCAAAAACATTAATTAAAAAAGATCTTACAACCACCTGAATTGTAGTTTATAATAACATTTCATCATTAAAAAATAAAAAATAAATTAATATGATCACAGATAGATTAAGTTTTTCATAAAGTACATCAAGTTTTTTTTTTTTTTTATCAATATACTGTTAAATGACTGCTAAGTCATTTTGGGGCTTGTGCAATTAAAAATTTTTGAAAAATAAAATAAAATAAAATAAAATAAAATAAAATAAAATAAAATAAAATAAAATAAAATAAAATAAAATAAAATAAAATATAATATAATATATGAGCACAATCAAAAGAATAGCAATGGAATATGTCTGTATATCTGCACTGGTGGATCGAGGCCATAGGCTGAGTGCCTTAGTATCGCACCAGTGACGATATACAGCCATATCGTACTGCTACAAGTGTAATATTGCATTTATACAAAAGTTTGACAACCTAATTGTTATAAAAAAAGAAAATCAAACACAGAGAGTCTCAAAACACTGTTGTACAAGGAACTACTTTCTTCCACCGCTCATTCACATCTGCAGCTGACATCAAAACAGCAGAAACTGTTGCTACTTCACAAATGTCGCTTTAGAGCTTGTATTTGAATGATTTTCTAGCGTAATGTCTTAAGTGATGACAAAACAGGTGATTTTGCTCAAATTTTAAGATTATAAGGCTGAAACACTAGCAGATTACTATGGTATAAATAGAGCACTATAAAATACAAAAGACAGAGATCGACTTAGAATGTCACTTACCTGTTCTTTAATGATTTGTTCAGCTATAGTTTGAAACGTACACTGAAAACATGCTGTTTTTTCTCCCCTAAGGACTTATAGTGCGGTCTCACTATAATTTTTTGTTGCAATCTTGTGGCAGAATGTCAACCGTCTTTGCTCTGCAAAGAATGGCCAATTTATGCATATTTAAAACAAACTTCTTTATTATCAGTCTTTATAAATAAACTGCAGAGTTTCAATCGAAACAACTACATTCTTGCCTAAAAAGCCTCAAAAGTACATTATGTTGTACAACAGCTGCAATATTTGTCAAACTGTAGTCCTCTGCTTGCCACTTGTGTTGGCGGAGTAATACACAAGGGTGAAGAGGCTGTACGAGTGCTAATATTATTTTAACATCTCATGGCTATCAGCTAATCAGATTCGAGAACCAGACAGAACTGTTGTATTAAACATAATATAATATAATATAATATAATATAATATAATATAATATAATATAATATAATATAATATAATATAATATAATATAATATAATATAGGCGAGGCAGTCTCACAGCAAGAAGGTCGCTGGTTTGAACCTCGGCTCAGTTGGCGTTTCTGTGTGGAGTTTGCATGTTCTCCCTGCCTTCGCGTGGGTTTCCTCCGGGTGCTCCGGTTACCCCCACAGTCCAAAGACATGCGGTACAGGTGAATTGGGTAGGCTAAATTGTCTGTAGTGTATGTGTGAGTGTGTGTGTGTGTGTGTGTGTGTGTGTGTGTGTGTGTGTGTGTGGATGTTTCCCAGAGATGGGTTGCAGCTGGAAGGGCATCCGCTGCGTAAAAACTTGCTGGATAAGTTGGCGGTTCATTCTGCTGTGGCGACCCCGGATTAATAAAGGGACTAAGCCGACAAGAAAATGAATGAATGAATTAATGAATAACATAATATAATATAATATAATATAATATAATATAATATAATATAATATAATATAATATAATATAATATAATATAATATAATATAATATAATATAATATAGTATAATATAATATAATACTTTTTTTGTTTTGATGCTTTTGTTGCACTTTACAATTTAAATGCTGCCAAAAACTACTTTCAAAATGTCAATATTTGCAATTTTTCACAAAGATACACACAAACTACACTCAAAAAATGCTGCTTGTTCAAACTACTTATTTACGAGCTAAATCAACACAATTGTTGAGTTTTCTGGGAGACAATTTAATTGTTTTATGTTCAATCAACTTAATTTTAACTTAAGTTAATGTACAGTAATTACTTTGTGTTGGGACAACATGACTGAATTGTGTGGAACCTAGCATTATTTACAGTCTATACAAAAACACCAGCCTAAAATACCGTGTCAAGTCTGAGAAATCAAATAGTCAGAAAGGCCTAGATAACCTGTGCCACAACACCTGATAAAAAAAAAATGTCAACATAAAGCACCCGCTGACCTAAAACAGCACCAGGAACAACAACTAGATACAATTCCACATCCAAGTAGTGCAATCAGCCGCAATTATGAAACGCAAGGCGGCATTCATCAACAAAGAAATCCCCGCAAATACATCCACTGCCCCACACTTGAACTCTTATGATGAAGCCGAATATCTGGATGTCAATATTTAGCTACCTGCTTGTTTGTTTTCATTTGATTGAATTATGTGTGTAGGAACCATATACCAAATATTTGAGGTTACGCAGCAATATTTGTCCCGACATGTGAATTAGGTGGCTGGTGTGTGTTGATTCTTAAATCAGTGCCGGATCTGTGAATAAACACAAGATGTATGTGCTTTAATAGACCAATAATCAAAGTCGTCTTGCAGAGGAGTTCAAAAACGCAGGAGGAGGAGAGATAGTCAATATTTAGAGAGTCGTATTTGATTTTTTTTTTTCTATGGTGTAAAGGTTTCTGGCTCAGTACACAACTACTGTGAGAGGAGCATTTAGGGCTGGTGTGTGTTAGGATTGACCCTTGAGTGTGTGCTGTGGGTTTGTACCCTGGTTAAAGCAGCGTCTCGCTCCTGGATGACTGTTTTCATCTCCTCTGAGGTGATCTGGGAACGTCGCTCTCTGGCCCTTTGGATCTGTTCAATGATGGCCGCTCCGCTCTGTTCAATAGCGAGGGCAGATTCTGCACTGTTCACCCGGTTCAACAGCTCCTCCAGATCCTGAACAGAACATACAGATACATTTACATTTGCAACCCTGGGGTCTGCTTTATACATTTTTCAAAAGAAACCTTACTAAAATTTAACTTAACCAGCATAAATGTAATTATTTATGATTTAAAGTGGTTCAATTAATGCCTAGTTCAGACTGCGTGATTTTAGCCCCGATTTTGGCTCGCCGACAGGTTTTGAGAAATCGCCGACAAATGCCTGAAATCACAGGCAAATCGTTGCTCGTGCATGTGAGTGACAATCACACAGTATGAACTATCAAAGACGCGATCTGAGAGAATCGCCGATGAGTCGCCGATGCCTGCGAGATATTTGGCATGCTAAATATCTGGAGCTGTCGGCGATGCAAATCATTCTGTGTGAATTGAGTTTTGACTGAAAATAACATCAGCCATCGCCTACAGCCAATGAGAGAGCAGCATTCACTTGCGTGTGTGTGTGTGTGTGTATACCTGCTGCAGGCCAGCGGGAGGCTGGGGGAGAAGTTAAAAGCGCTCTTTTTCGGTTTATTTGGTCCCACGAAATGGAGGAAAAACTAGTGGAGGTTTGACAGGACTCAGGAGCAACCGTGTCTGTTTGACGTTTCATACAAAAAATAAATTAGTTTATTATCAACGTTGAGGAGAAATGGCTAATTCCCTTTAAACCCAGGTGAGCAAATATGTACATTTTCTACCCCATTAAAGGCTTCTTTCTCATTATGTAACGTTAGTTAATAACAAAAGATATACTACATGTTTTTGGCTGTGAGACGTAGTTTGGACGAAGTTGTCGGTGATTCTTCCTATGGTAAAGTCATGCAATGTGAAAGTCCCTGTCGGCGATCCATCTTGCAGTGTAAACAAAGCAGCGACGAAACGCTAGCCCATATAGTCATGCAGTGTGAAAACATCTGTGACACGACTACTTTGAAAATCTTGCAGTCTGAACTCGGCATAAGTCAATATTTAACCCCTTCCACTGTGTTCGAACTACATGTGACACAACAAGATTCTAGCAACAAGCAATTTGTCTGTCTGCACCAAACGCAACAGAAACATTTAAATACCAGCCACTGCACTCATTAATACATATTAAACCTATTTATTTATTTATTTGTAGATTTATTTTTGGCCTTTTTGCCTTTATTAGATAGGACAGTAATGAGACAGGAGGCGAAGTGAAAGAAAGAAAGAGGGGGTAGGATTGGGAAGTGTCCTCGAGCCAGGATTCGAACTTGGGATGCTGAAAAGTACATGGGCTGAGTGGCCGAAGTCAATGAATTTTAAATCGCTTGCAAGTTATGTTATTTTCAAGATGAGAGGTTAATCTGCTACTGCTTTCAGTAGTATGGCAATAAATGTGACGTAAATCTCACCATTAGTAGCATATAACACTGAATAAAGCCCATAATCTGTACCTGAGGAGATCATCATAGCAGTTTATGGTGTTTCTGAAATTTTGCACGTCGCTGTAGCAGATGGTTGGGACAAAAACTAGTTTTAACATGAGAAAAATACATTTTATCGAATTGCATCATGAGCAGTTAGGGATTACACACTAAAGGCTCCTACACACCGGGACGTTTTTAGTTTGCGTTTATCGTCAGCGTTTTACGAGACGTTTTTCAGTGTTCAAACCCAAGTGCTTTTCACTGGCGTCAAGCAGACGAGTATGCCAAATCACACTTTTGACACAACTATAAGCTTCTGACACCCGTTTATAACACAGAAAAAGTGGAGGAGCGGACGTTCACACGCTTGTTGCTATATTTACTGGTGACTTAAACAAGCATGGATGGTTCAAGCAGCAGCTCCTGCTATAGTGATGAAGAAATGATTATTGTTCACAGAGCAATAAGCAGCTCCACTTTCATATCGCCTCTGGGCATCTTCTTCAATGTGCGCTCGCATTGACAGTTTTGCGCTTGAGCGCCTCCAAGTCCTGTTTACGGTAACTTCAGCAGCTCCGTGCACGTGAACAAAAGTGCAGATCTGATTGGTGGAGAAGGTTTTGACATTGTGCGTCAAAACAAAAAAAACGAGCATGAGGCGTTTTTTTTTTTAAATGACGCTTTTGCGCCTGGCGTTTTGCGCGTTGGTGTGCACAATCACACTGACGCCCTTTATTTAGTCACGAGGCGTTAAATGTCGACGGAAAACGCAAGAAAATAACGTGTCGGTGTGCAAGGGCCTTTAGGCATGAAAATGACATATTCAACTTGAATTCCAATCTTGAATGCTTTGGTGCATTGAACACATATATTTGAACGCATATTTAACGCATAAATTTAGGCTTGGTCTCATTTTATGTGCCTTTCCGTTTATGAAGATAATGAAACAATAAATGTTTAATTTATTATATAAAATATGCATTTCAAAAGGCGGTGGGGTGGCGCAGTGGGTAGCCCTGTCGCTTCACAGCAAAAAGGTTGCTGGTTCGAGCCCCGGCTGGGTCAGTTGGCATTTCTGTGTGGAGTTTGCATGTTCTCCACTTGTTGGCGTTGGTTTCCTCCAGGGGCTCTGGTTTCCCCCGCAGTCCAAAGATATGTAGTACAGGTCAATTGAATAAGCTAAATTGGTCGTAGTATGTGTGTATGAATGAGAGTGTATTGGTGTTTCCCAGTGCTGGGTTGCGGCTGGAAGGGCATCTGCTGTGTAAAACATTTCCTGGATAGTTTGGCGGTTCACTCTGCTGTGGCAACCCCATTAATAAAGGGACTAAGCCAAAAAGAAAATTAATGACATATTTCACAAAACCTTTTTTAAACAATTGTTTTGGTTGGTACAAAATAATTTTTATTTCAATTGTTATTATTATTTGTTTTATATATAATTTTTTAAATATTTTTTTACAGTGCACATATTCTAGATATATCACATTAGGGCTGCAACTAACAATTATTTTAATCATTGGTCACTTTACAATAAAGTTCATTAGTTAATGTTAAGTAATGCATTTACTAACATGAACAATACATTTACTACAGTATATATTCATGTTAATAAACGTTAGTTAATGAAAATACAGTTGTTCATTGTTAGTTCATGTTAACTCATGGTCCATTAACTAATGTTAACAAGCATGGACTTGAATGTTAATAATCCATTAGTAAATGTAATAAATGCTGTACAAGTGATGTTCATGATTAGTTCATGTTAGTTAATGCATTAACCAATGATCCTTATTGTAAAGTGTCACCTAATCATTTCCAACCCTTTATTTAAATAAGTTTTCAATCCAAATATCAAAAAAAAATTTTATAATCAAGATACATACTAGACAGATGAACTAGCACAAGAAATTATGTCTTGTTTTCTGAAGAAAAAACCCCCTCAAATTTAAGTGATCGTTGGCTTAAAACAAGCAAAATTATTTGCCAATGGGGTAGGAAAAATAATCTTAATAAGAGATAATCTCAAAAAGAAGCATCACATAATTTGTCATTTTTCTTGTCTAGTCTTGATTTATGATTTTTTAAATATTTGGACTGGAAATTGAGACAAATTCTAAGTAAGAAATGCTTTTTTGCAGTGCAGCTACACATGACAACAGATGGAAAAATCAAAGATCCAGAAAAGGTGATTGAATAAAAACGTGTCTTTAGTCTTGCAATGCAAAGTAACTTTACCACCACTGCTTTACTTCTGTTATTAACCCTTTCTCTGGTGAGGTTAATATATTCAATCTGAAGCTGGAAGTGAGTTTTAAATTCATCAGTTACTCCTAAAATGCATGCAAGCAAGTGGCTGGCCAACTGGGAGAAGAATAGATTGAACTTTATGGTTACTTTCACTACGTGTATCTGATATGAACAATACACTTTGGCAAATTACATTAGAATGGATTGTTGGACTTCCCTAGACTTTCTAGTGTGTTTAACAAACTCTAAATGTGTTGTTTTACTAGTACTTGTGTGTATTTGTATGTCTAAAACATAAAATAAGCATTGGGTGGTTAAAACACTTCATAAGTGTGATAATATGACATGTCCTGCTCTGGCTAGGCGCCAGCCATGACGCCAAAGCTCAGATTGAACTTTTTATAGCCACTATAAGTTAACAAACTAACGCTAACATGTCATTGCTTGATGTCACGATTGATAAAGAGTAAACTCCAGCACCAGAAACTTTATGATCCTCACTTAAAAAGGGAACAGAAGTAGGATTCTGTAGTGGTTTACCCTGTTGTTGAACTCCCTCCTCATCCCTGTCTTTGAGGCATTGAACTCCACATCGGTGCGCAAGAGAGACCATGTTCACTCCGCTCCACACTGAATTGAAGTGTTTTTTTAATAATCAAAGTCTCCGCATCGCACGACACAACAAATCGGTTATGAAATTCGTTGCCAACTCTTTTAGTAATCGATTTTATCGATTCGTTGTTGCAGCACTATTGCACATGATATATCGTATTTATGGTCAACGCAAGATACGCTTTTTTTCTATACTGTAAAACCCAAAAAGTTAAGGTAACTCAAACCATTTGAGGAAACCGAATGCAAAAAAACATTTCAGTTAAAAAACTAATCCTAATGAGTACTGTGAACTTAATCCGTTTGAGGAAATAAAGCAATTTGAGCACAGTTAAACCGAATAAATGAAGAGAACTCAAACCAACTGAGTTCTCCAAAAAAAAATTATTCAGAGATGATTTCTTGGATTTACTCAATTTGTTTACATTAAGTGGTTGTAAACAATTTATTTGTGTTGAGTTTAAACAAACAAATTAAGTTGAACATTATTAAACTTAATTTGTCTGTTTAAATTGAACACAATTAATTTGTTTGCAACAGTTCTGCATGCAACACTTTTTTCAGTGATACTGTAAAACCCATAAGTTAAGGCAACTCAAACTGTTTGAGCTAAAAAAAAAAAACTAATCTATACGAGTACTGTGAACTTACTCCATTTAAGTTGAAGTAATGAGGTATTTAATTAACTCATACCTTCAACACTAAGTTTAAAACTCTTTTCCAATGAGTAGAATTAACCTTCAGTAAACTAAGTTAACTACACTCATTTCATTTGATTACGCTGATGGTTGGGTTTTACAGTATATATTTTATAATCTAGCAGCTAAAAATCATACATCTGATTACTTATAAAACACCATAAAAATGCTACATCCTGTACTTTATGTAAAGCAATACTTGTGTTCAAACAATAAACAGAAAACTGATGCTAAAAAAAATGAACAAATAAAATTAAGAAATCACAGTAAGCATCAATACAAGCCTTTCCTGTGGCTGTTTTTTCCATTTAAGACGGTCAGACAAAAAGGGTACACAGAACAATCAGAGATGAAATTCTCCAGTGAGGAAGGCTTACCACATCACTTTCTTCAGGTTTAATATTCTCCAGCCTAGAGAGAGATAGAGAGAGAGAAAATGGAGAAATGAAATGTAGTGAGCTTCCATGAGTTTCCTTTATGTCACTCTGCAAAATGAGATCACTTCCCAAATCCAGTAATTGCATTCTGTGGGTTTTGGTATGAAAGCAGAAGACACACTCGGAGATATTAAAAGTGCCGCCCGCTCGTGCTGGCATTCCACTGTAATGCCCATTCTGCTCAGAACTGACGGTGAATTGTTAAGTTATTAATGTTTACTACTTTATATGACTATTGGGATCAATTGTTCATATGTGTGGGGAAACGGAGAGACGGATTAGGCCTGAACCTTTTGTGCCACACCTGCCGTGAGCATCTTTATAAAGGCAAAGACAACAGTAATTACGAAGCCAAATACCTGGAGACTCGCGGGTCACACTGTCAGGAAATATTTATGATTTTGAAGGGTTTTTTTTTTCATATGGAGCTATATAACAAATGCACAGGCACAAAGATTTGCTCATGGCTAATGTAGATCAACGGCACTGAGAGCCTGATCTGTAGGTTTTGCAATAAATGTATGAAATAAATATATATACAGTGGAGTCCAAAAGTCAAGCCTTATGTATTTACCCATAGTTTCATTTACATTTGTACAGTACACAAATATTAAAGAAAAATATTTACAGTAATTTAGGTAACTTTCATTTTCCCATTCTAAAGGGTGTAGCACATCACCAAAGGCCAGACAGACTTACTACACCTGAAAATTTACCTATATTTCCATTCACATTTGTACAGTAGACACATTCATTAATTTTCTTGTCGGCTTAGTCCCTTTATTAATTCGGGGTCGCCACAGCGGAATGAACCGCCAACTTATCCAGCAAGTTTTTACGCAGCGGATGCCCTTCCAGCCGCAACCCATCTCTGGGAAACATCCACACACATTCACATTCACACGCACACTCATACACTACGGACAATTTAGCCTACCCAATTCACCTGTACCGCATGTCTTTGGACAGTGGGGGAAACCAGAGCACCCGGAGGAAACCCACGCAAATGCAAGGAGAACATGCAAACCCCACACAGAAATGCCAACTTAGCCCAGGGCTCAAACCAGTGACATTCTTGCTGTGAGGCGACAACACTACCTACTGTGCCACTGTAGGTAACCGCATATTAAAGAAAAATATTTACAGTAATTTAAGTAACTGTAATTTACTCATTCTAAAGGGTGCAGCATATCCCCAGAGGCCAGACAGAGTTACTACATGTTATATTTTACCAATATATCCATTAAATTTGTGCAGTAGACAAATAAAGAAAAATATTACCAGTAATTCACATAACTGTTATTTTTTTTAATTTTCCCATCCCTATAGGCTAGACAGACTACCTACATGTGATATTTTAACCATTTTCTATTCACCTTTGTACAACACACAAATATTAAAGAAAAATATTTACAGTAATTCACGTAACTGTAATTTTCTCATTCTAAAGGGTGTAGCACATCCCCAGAGGCCGGACAGAGTTACTACATGTTAGATTTTATGCATATTTACATTAATCTTAAAGCGCACAAATATTAATTTTTATTTATTTATTGACACATCAACAACGTATGGCTATTTCGTGGCAAAATGGATATACATAAAATATTACATTATAAAAACAAATTCGTATGACACAAAAAAATTACTTAAACAAATATATAAAATATAAATAGATAATATTCACACAAAATGTATTCAAAATTAAATATGATTTTTCAGTTAAATTTTTGATAAATAATTTAAAACTCCTCCTGGTGGTACCTTTTTAAAATGTCCATCAAACTACACTCCTTGTTGTCTAAATGTTGTCAAATGGAATTTAAACTTCCACATTCCAACAAAATATGTTTTATGGTAAGAGCAGCCTGGCACATTTAGGTGGTTCTTCGTTATTCAGTAAATATAAATGTGTCAACCTAGAATGTCCAATTCAAGTCTCATCATGCCTGGTTACAAAATTATAATTTGCTAAATGTCTTTCATTTATTTTTGGGTTAATTTCATGTAATTTCACACAAATATTCAAGAAAAATGTTTACAGTAATTCACAAAACTGTAATTTTCTCATTCTAAAGGGTGTAGCACATCTCCAGAGGCCAGACAGACTTACTACACATGATATTTTACCCATATTTTTTTCATTCACATTTATACAGCAGATAAATATTAAAGAAAAATATTTACAGTAATTTGCATAACTGTCTTTTTTTCATTCTAAAGTGTATTGAAGAATATATATATATATATATATATATATATATATATATATATATATATATATATATATACAGTCCAAATGTCAAAAAATATCAAAATATTTATCAAAAATACAGTAAAAAAAAACTGCAAAATTGTGAAAATGTATTTGAACTTAAAACCGCTGTTTTCTATTTATAAAACTTTTACAATATAATTTATTCCTGCTGTATAAATTCAGAATTCACAAGATCCTCCAGAAATCATTCATGTGATCTAAATAGCTGCTCAAGAATCATTTTAAATAAATATATATTTTAAAAACACTTTTGTGATGTGAAAACATTAATAATATTTAATGCAATATCAAATGTCAAACCTTAAAAAAAAGAAAGCAAACTTTGGAACATTACTTAAAATATAACATACTCTCTCTTTTGGACCCTACTGTATAATTGTCAAGGAAGAGTTTAACAGAGCAGATTGAGAAAATATGGCAGATGAACTGCAGAATACTGTTCGCTCTGCTTTTGCAGGCATGCTGCTCCTTTAAGAGCAAATCGAATTCCTCCTTCAGCCACCAGGCAGAAAAAACAACAACCCCTCCACTCATTTACAAAGGCATTACATGGATCTCCATCCATTATAAAGGTACATACTCATTCACACAATGGACCCAAGAGTGACCTCTGAAAATAAGGGCTTAGAACACGTGCGTCCATATTCCCCCAAAGATAATGGGATTTCTCTTGGCTATCAATTATCATATTTTTGTGAGAGAGGGGCCAGAATGGACCCTCTGATCACAAAGGGACGCGCTTTTATAATTAGATTCTGAAGAGTTCCTGAAAATGCATTTCATGCCTCTCAATAATTGCGGTTCATTTGAGCGACTTGAGTAACTATCAATAAATCATGAGGCCGACTGAAATATTAAACAGGGTGTAAGGTGACGAATACCTCTTGAAGAGGGCGTCGAGCAATAAAGAAGAACATAAAGTCATTGGTAAATAGAAATTTATATTAGTCAGAGTGCTTGTTGATGTCAACAAAAGCCATTTTCTAAAAACGACAACCACTTTTAAAGGCACAATTCAATTTACTTAACCCCAGAGAGTGTAACAGTTGAGTTTTGAATCCATTAATCCTGGATCTCCAAGACTGGCAGAAACACTTATAGCTTAGCTTAGCATAAATCATTGAATCGAATGAAACCATTAGCATCTTACTCAAAAAATGACAAGAGAGTCTCGATAATTTTCCTATTTAAAACTTGATACTTCTGTAACTAACTACATTGCATACAAAGACAAAGTTTCTGTTTTCTAGGCCAGAACTACACTGTAATTCTGGTGTAACAATCAAGGATCTTTACTGCCGGACCATGGCTGCAGCAATCTATCTACAGAATAGTCAAGTTTGTAATAAGAATTCTCAAAACTCTGCTCATTTTTGAGCAAAATGCTAACGGTCTAATCCGATTCAGCTATTTATGCTAAGCTAAGCTAAAAGTGCTCATGCCAGATTTAAAGACTGGCTGAATGGATAAAAAAATGATTAAACTCAACTGTTTACCTCTAGGGTAGTCATCAAATTAGCCAATTTTTTATTTCTTTATTTATTTTTTGTTCAAAGTGGAGTGTTCATTCAAATAAGATATAAATTATCTCATCCTCTGGAGGCCACAGGGCAATATTCCTTTTCAAATTTCAATTATTAAACAACAGCACCAGTTAAACATACAGAGAAGAAGATCTTATTAATTGGGACCAGCAGGAGGGTGATAAGTGGTAAATATCTGCAGGTCTAAAGCACAGGATTGATTTCCTATACAGTGGAACTTCTGACTGACAGCCCAGAACTAGGATGAGGGGACTCTTAAGAAATGTCACACCCCTCTGATATATTTCCAAACCAGTCGATATTGGATTTCCCCTCAAACCCTTGTCTGTTCATTCAGCTTGTCCTCAAGCAGAAGTACAAAGCAACGGTGAGTAAAACTGCATACCTCGCATGCTTCTCAAACCCTTGAATCCACTGCTTTTAAAATCTCTGAAGAAAACTTTAACACCGCTTGGACTGAGAAGCGTGGAAACCAAACCTTTCATTTTATCACCTTTTAGATCATGAAGTTTAAGATTCTGAGTTAATAAGTTTTATTAAATTGTCATTAAATATCACCAACCCCAATTAGGCAATAAGTTATATTGTTTACACAAAACGGTTTTGAGCCTTACTCACCAGCCACTTTATAAGGTATACCTGTCCAACTGCTTGTTAATGCTGATTTCTAATCAGCCAGTCACATGGCAGCAATTCAATGCATTTAGGCATGTAGACATTGTCAAGACGATCTGCTGCAGTTCAAATTGAGCATCAGAATGGGGAAGAAAGCTGATTTAAGTGACTTTGAACATGACATGGTTGTTGGTGCCAGTTTGGCTGGTATTTCAGAAACTGCTAATCTACTGGGATTTTTACACACAAACATTTCTAGGGTTTAAAGAAAATGGTCCGAAAAAGGGAATATCCAGTAAGCGGCAGTTCTGTGAGCAAAAAATGCCTTGTTGATGCCAGAGGAGAATGGCCAGACTGGTTTGAGCTGTTAGAAAGGCAACAGTAACTCGAATAACTACTCATTACAACCAAGATCTGCAGAAGAGCATTTCTGAACGCACAACATGTCCAACCTTGAGGCGGTTGGGCTACAACAGCAGAAGACCACACCGGGTGACACTCCTGTCAGCTATGAACAGGAAACTGAGGGCACAATTCACACAGGCTCACCAAAATTGACCAATAGAAGATAGGAAAAACATTGTCGCTTGAGTCTCATTTTCTGCTGCGACATTCGGATGGGTCAGAATTTGGCGACAACAACATGAAAGCATGGATCCATCAATGATTCAGGCTGCTGGTGGTGGTGGTGTGGAGATATTTTTTTGGCACACTTTGGGCTCAGTCGTGTCAACCTTGTCCCTCCCTTAAGGACCACAGTGTCCCAACCTCTTATGGCAACTTCTAGCAGGATAACGTGCAAATCATCTCAGACTGGCTTCTTAAACTTGGCAATGAGTTCACTAGACTCAAATGACCCCCAGTCACCAGATCTTAATCCAATAGAGCACCTTTGTGATGTGGTGGAACAGGAGATTCACATCATGGATGTGCAGCCGACAAATCTGCAGCAACTGCGTGATGCTATCATGTCAACATAGACCAAAATCTCTGAGGAATATTTCCAGTACTTTATTAAATCTATGCAATGAAGGATTAAGGTAGTTCTAAAGGCAACATGGTACTAGTTAGGTGTACCTAATAAAGTGACCAGTGAGTGTATTCAAAATTTACAAAACAATCAACACTTGCAAAGCCTTGAATATGACATTCTGCATGTAACAAATAATAAACTTTAAAAACGTTTAGTTGTTTCAACCCAAATGTGGAAAAACCAAACCACTGGGTTAAAGAAACAGTTCACCCAAAAATTTTAAACTTTGGCATCACCTTTTCAAAACTATGTGTTTTTTTTTCATTCTCTTGAACACAAAAGAAGACATTTTTAAAATTGTGGGTTGCTGGCCCCCATTTAAATATCTCAGGACATTTGCATTCTTTGGAGGATGAGAGAGCTCCAGGATTTCATCTAAAATACCGTAATTTGTGTTCTGAGGAGAAGCGAAGGTCTCAGAGGGTTGAAACAGTGATGTGATTTAGATATTTAATTTTTGGGTGAACTAAAACTTTAAGTCAAAAGTGACAATTTATTTATGACTTACCTCTCAGATTAAATTCTATTAAAAAAACATCAGTAAAGAGTAAATAGAGTACAATGAATACAATGGCACAACTTTAAATGCTGGAAATCAAGTCAGCAGCCTCCCCTTCTTATCGGCAATGGGTTTTTGGGATTTTTTTTACATGCTCTTTGAATGGAAAAGATTCGGTTCACATTACCAAAAGCCAAAAACAGTTCTTGAAAATCCCTTTTCTTAAAAAAAAAAAAAACAATGAAGAAGACACCTATATCTTTATAATTTTTTTTATCTCTATAATTTCTTAATTTTTAAATTTCTTAATTTTTTCTTTTTATTGTTTGTTTTATTATTATTATGTTCATGTTATGTTATCTATGTATGTTTTTGTGTATATTTGTACTATTTTCCCTTTTTAATATATGCTTTGTTTATAATTACAATTTCCTGATAATTTCTTGTTAGGGAAATTGTTTCTGTGTGATTTTTATGGCATGTTATGTATATCTCGTTATATGTATATATATATATATATATATATATATATATATATATATATATATATATATATATATATATATATATATATATATATATAGCGCTATCTAACGCTGATTCTTAATGTTTTAATTAGGTGGCTAATTCGTATGAATTCATACAATCTCATTCATAAATTTTAGTACGATTTGTTTACGCCCCAGTGATGGTTGGGTTTAGAGGTTTTTTTTAAAAATCATACAATTTTGTATGACTGAACTCATATGAATTAGCCACTAAATTGAGAAAACGTAAAAAAATAAATAAAAGTTAGGTTTCCTCGTGAGATCTGGCTGGTACATTAATGTATATTTGCTGTCTATATACTGTATATTTTATTTAGAGTGTTATTTTCTGACCTAAGCAAAAATAAAAAATAAATGCTGCAAATCCAGATTATCACATTTTCATTTTGTTACGAGCTCCTTTCAGAGGACAGAAATGATTAGAGCAGCATGTAGTTGGACAAGCTGAATAAAAGCTCTGTTTTGGAAGAGGTTTGAACAGCACATACTCCAGTGTCGCCTCCTGAAGCTTCTTGGCCCGAAGTAAAGCTTCATCCCTCTCCTCGTTCGCCAGCCGCAGTCTGGCCATCACAGCCTGGTCTCTCTCCCTCTGAGCCTTATAGATTTCCTCCACTAGCACTGAGAGAAAAAAAAAAAGAGAGAGAGAGAGAGAGGGGAAGAGAGAGAGAGGGAGGGAGGTTATTATTCTGGTATTGCACTCCAGAGCTCCAGCTGCACAATAACAAGGCTAAGCTCCTCGGGAAAGAGGTTATTGCAGTTGAAACACTATGGCATAAGTATTAATAACTCTAAGTGAGCCTTATTTTGAGAAGACAGTTTCCCCGGGGGAGGTCTGTGTGTGTGTGTGTGTGTGTGTGTGTGTGTGTGTGTGTGTGTGTGTGTGTGTGTGTGTGTGTGTGCACGAGCGCCCAGAGCAATAAAAACAGCAGCAACACCCTGAAGTCAGAGTTCCAGGCTCTTGGAGACTGCGGAGACATTTTATTTATGAAATTTCAGCATGGAAACGCTCTGGTTTATCAACATTGTACGGGAACCGCAAGCAATTACACCAGGCTCATGGATGTCAGAAAGCAACCGAAAAACATCCTCATATAGGAGGACAAACATGGCTGTGTTTGACCTACGGGGCCTCGGCAGGTCCACGGGCGTGCTGACATAGTGTATATGTTTAAAAAAAAAAACATATTGGAAATGAAGGCCCCTGGTGAATGCATGAATGAGCTAATGAACGATCAAACAAGCAAATGAACAAACACACAAATGAATGGACGATGAATGGCCAAAAACCTTCAAGGGCACAACTGATGACAAAATCAGGAAGGAAGAGTGGAGATGAAGATAACAAATATAAACAAGTGAAATGAAGGAATGATTTAAATGAACAATCAAACAACCAATGAATGAATGAATGAAAGCATGAGATGAAAGAAAGAAAAAAGAAAGAAAGAAAGAAAGAAAGAAAGAAAGAAAGAATGAATGTAAGCATGAATAAATAAAAGCATGAAAGCCTAAATGAATAAATGAATGGATGGATGGATGGATGGATGGATGGATGGATGGATGGATGGATGGATGGATGGATGGATGGATGGATGGATGGATTAATAAATTAAAGAATGAATGAATGAATGAAAACATGAAAGAATTAAGGAATGAAAGCATGAATGAATGATAGCAGGAAAGCCTAAATGAATGAATGAATGGATGGATGGATGGATGGATGGATGGATGGTTAAAAAAATGAATGAATGAAAACATGAAAGAATTAAGGAATGAAAGCATGAATGAATGAAAGCAGGAAAGCCTAAATGAATGAATGAATGGATGGATGGATGGATGGATGGATGGATGGATGGATGGTTGAAAAAATGAATGAATGAAAACATGAAAGAATTCAGGAATGAAAGCATGAATGAATGATTGGATGGATGGATGGTTGGATGGATGGATGAACAAATAAAAGAAAGAAAGTAAGAATGAATGAATGAATGAACGAACAGACGGACGGATGGATGGATGGATGGATGGATGGATGAATGAATAAATGAATGTATGAATGAAAACATGAAAGAATTAAGGAATGAAAGAATGAATGAATGGATGAATGGATGGATGGATGGACGGACGGACGGACGGACGGACGGACGGACGGACGAACGAACAAAGACATGAAAGTATTAAGGAATGAAAGCATGAATGAATGAATGAATGAAAACTTGAAAAAATTAAGTAATGAAAGCATAAATGAATGAATGGATTGATGGATGGATGGATGAATGAATGAATGAAAACATGAAACATTTAAGGAATAAAAGCATGAATGAATGGGAAACTGAAAATCATAAATGATTGCAAGCAAATATAAATGACATGACGAACAAACGAACAGACAAACGAATAGGCGGATGGACGAATGGATGAATGAACGAACGGACATGAATGGGACAATGAACAAACAATTAAAATATAATTTAAAAAAATGTAAAAACGTATAAGCTAAGAAAAACAACAACAACTCAACTGAGCAATCGTCTCTAAACTCTCTGATCAAATATACCTCGATTTTGATTCACAAATCCAACCTGACCTGCAACTATGGCTGTGCAACTAATAGAAAATCAGTTTCGTTTTCGATTTTTTGGCTTCTAACGATTATGAAAAAACATTAATCAAGATAAAATGATTATTGCATCCTATTTCCTTTTCCAGCTGTACACATTTGTTGCTCTGCAAAGCTCAGTTTCACGTGAAAATGACTAAAAGCATGAACTGTAGTGTAACGTTTTCAGCGCGGGATACGCATCATTCATTGATGAACATTTGAATCATTCATGTTTTTAAAAGCGCATGCTGTTGTGTGTGCGCGCGCTCAGCCTCAGAGACAAGCAGAGCACACACATCTAAAGTCATCTTAATGTGTGCGCTTTAATGGTCGAATACATGCGAAGTTGTGTCAGAGCACAGTGTTTAGTGATTATTCATATTAACCCTCATTTATGTAATAAACAAAGGAGTTGAAAATTAAAAGACATGTGAAAGTGAAACCATAAATCAGAATCGCACTGCTCTTAAAGTGACAGTGCACAATATTCCAACAGTTTTAATTATTAATCAAACAACAAAAGAAGAAAATCACTTACTGCTCTTGACTAAAGGACATAGGTAGCTATAATTAAAGTTTTTTCTTACAGTAAAGATGCTTAAAGCACAGTTTGTTTCATTTTTAATCTAATGTATTTATTTCCAGGGAGGAAAATAACTATATATACAGTTGAAGTCAGAATTATTAGCCCTCCTGAATTATTAGTGACCCTTTTCCCCCCAATTTTCAACCGATTTCTAAACATAAAAGATTTAATAACACATTTCTAATAACTGATTTCTTTTTTCTTGGCTATGATGACAGCACATAATATTTTACTAGATAGTTTTCAACACACAAGCATTCAGTTTAAAGTGCAATTCAAAGGCTTAATTAGGTAAGTCATTGTATAACAGTAGTTTCTTCTGCAGACAATCATAAAAATATATATTGGTTAAGGGGGCTAATAATATTGCTCTTAAAATTGTTTAAAAATATTTAAACCTGCTTTTAATCTAGCCCAAATAAAACAATAAACATTTTCTCCAGAAGAAAATTTTTTATAGGAAATCCTGTGAAAATCTCCTTGCTCCTTTAAACATCATTTGGGAAATCTAAAAAAATAATAATAATAATAATTCACAATAAATAATTTTGACTTTAACTGTATATTATTAAATACTCATAAAACAGAGAGACAGTTTGGTAAAACACATTGGATTTGGGCATTACCAAACGGCCCTTGGCACAATGTCTAATCCTGCCGAAAGCACCACTGTTATCCATCAACCGCATCAATTCTTTCCTGCATGTTACGATAAACAGTCATTCCCACACTAAGCCACGACAAAGTTCACAAAGCAAATCAATATTGCTGGAATTTGCTGATTAAACATCTCCGACCCCAACTATACAAATCATATTGAAACGAGGGCGGAAATTACATGCATTATCATCGCCTTATTAAACAAAAAAAATTGGCTGCATAATTGCGTGTCATAAATGACGTGTTTCCGTTTAATTAGCAAACTGCGAGATGACGCTTTTTTTAGTTAAGATCAAACGAAAAAGTGAATATTGGCTCAATTTAAATATTTGCTCAGCAAAGGTGAGGAGTGTGTAGACTTCATTGACAAAATAATCAGTTACAGAGAGAAACGATCGCTGATGAGGACGCTTTATGTTAGACATATTGGTTTATGTTTACAAATGACTTTCTCGGATACTCCTGACATGTGCCAACTAATTCATTAAAAGTGTTTATCTCTCAATTGCACTGGAAGGTCAGATGTTTGCATTTCGAGATCTATGCTATGTCAGACCTCGCATATATAATGCTAGGACTTTCTGAAGGGTGAAATGTTCTACACTTCCACAAAGAAAATGGATAACTTGACCTAAAATTAATAATCTATCATCATTTATTCAACCTTGTGTCGATTCAAACATGTTTGACTGATTTAAAAGGGTTTGTTCACCCAAAAAATAAAACCTTTGTAATTAATTACTTATAATCATGTCTTTTCAATCCTACTTCTAAAGACAAGTGAAAATATTTTGAATGAAATCCTGGAGCTCTTTCATTCTGCATTGACAGTGGTGTAAAGTAACAAAATACAAATACTCAAATTACTGTAATTGAGTAGTTTTTCTCAGGAATTGTAATTTACTAAGTAGTTTTAAAAATGTGTACTTTGACTCTAGTAGTTTTAGTGCTGTGTTGGTACTTTTACTCCACTACTTTCCTTCAACTTTCAGTCACTACTATATTTTTTCATGTCTATGGAGATTAGAAAAATCAGTCCTGTGATTCCTGTCCAATCAAATCACACATAGAAGTTAAATCACTTCAATGAACCACCTCAAGACATGGGCGATTATTAATTGCAGTAAACTGTTTGGAAGCATTAAATGTGTCCAAGATGATGTCCAAAATCTTCACACATATTGACCCAGAGACTGTTTAGATGCATGTCACTGATGAGAAGATGATGGATGTTTACTGTATGATGACTGAAATGGCCTTAAACACCCAGCAGACACAAGACATAAACATGATGTCAGATTGACTTTGTACCCTAACGTCATGAGGGTGTAGCATTTTGTTTGGAAATGAAAATCAGGTTGACGTCAGAACTCAATGTCAGACCGACGTCAATGTCCAATCTAAAACCAACCAAATATCAACGTCTAATGATGTTACAGCTTGACGTTGTGTGGGCGTTACCACTATGACGTCTATCAGATGTTGAATTTTGGTTGACGTACCTGATGAATTCATGTCAGTAGTTGACGTCAATATGACGTTGGTTTAAGATGTTGGCTCGACGTTGGATTTTGGTCACTTTCTAACAACTTAAAATTGACCAAATATCAACATCATTTGACATGGTTATTGGACATCAAAATAACGTTGTCCTTAGACGTTGGCTCGCCATTTAATTTTGGTCACCTGACATCACAACCTAAATCCTAATATTAACGTCTTATGACGTTGTGCGTCTGCTGGGCAATAACTCGATGCACTACAGAATGTTACGTTTACACACACATGCACAAATTACATGTGAAGGCATCATCTTTATATATCGCAAAACTCACTACTCTTGAAATGTTTACTTTTTACTCATACTTTGAGTAATATTTACAACAAATACTTTTACTCGCATTACATTCTTAGTTAAGGTACTTTTACTTGAGTATGACTTTTCAGTACTCTTTCCACTACTGTCCATAGACAGTAAGTGTCCTGAGATGTTCAAAAAGCAGAAAATGAGCCAGAAACATTATCTGTGTCCGAAATAATGTATGTATGTATGTACCACATTTAAATTTGATTTTACTTCAAGAACTTTAGAAAAGTATGTTCTAATAACACAAGCTGATGCGAAATACCCTAAACATCAGTGAATGTGTTCGCATATATCTGCTTGTCTGTCACGCATCTGCTTTTGACTGTTTGGTGTCATCTTGTGACTGAATAATACATAGGTTAGTGTACACTCCATTCAGCCGTATTCCTGTTTGTCAGCTTTGACTTTTTTTCAGTAAATAAATGATTCTTTTAGAATAGTGTGTCTATTTTTTTTAACTTTGTGGCAAGTATCTATGCAATAAGTGGGATAAAGTACACAAATGCGGATGTTATCACAGAATAAAGCTCCTCAGTTTTGTTATAACAGTGTTCTGGTTTGCGCTGGGTTGCCAATACTGGCTTTTTCTGTGATAATATCTTGGATGTTAGATGAATAAATAGACTTCAGCATTCACGTAGTTGTTCAAGCATCAAACGAGATGAAAGGCTGTTTAGACGCAAGCCCTGTCAGGAGCAGCAGGTGAGTACTGAAAATACTGTAGTAAAATAAATTTCCATATTTTAAAGACATGACGTGGAACAATAGGATTTAATGTAGAGCTTCTTGTTGGAAATGAGACTCACTTTATAATGTAAATCAATAAGGAAGTGAAAATCATTCATTTTAAAGAAACCAGATCTTAAACACTGTGACTTTATAGTAGTATGACAGTTCACCAGAAGTGTTTAAACTGACTTATTCAACATTAAAAGTCCCCATGTAAATATAGTACCTCATTATGATCTGAAGAGTTTGGGACGGTGGCTCAGTGATTAGCACTGTCGCCTCACAGCAAGAAGGTCACTGGTTCAAGTCCTGGCTAGCATGTCAGGAGGCATTACTGTGTGGACTTTGCATGTTCTTCCAGTGTTAAAGTGGGTTTCCCTCACAGTCCAAAAACATGCATTAAAAGTGAATTGGGTAGACTTAAAGTTTGTATGACTTTGTATTTGCAGTAGTATATGAGTGTGTGTGTGTTTGGTGGTTCCTTCCCTCATTACAACCCCTGTTAATCAGGGACAAAGATAAACAGTAAAAATGACACATTTTACCTCTTTCCAAAAAGGAAAACCAAGAATGCTTGATTATAATGAAGTCATGACTTTAGAATTAAAAAAAAATTGTTATTTTAGAAGTCAATGGGGCAAAAACAGCCACCAACATAATGAAGAGTAGTAAATTTGCCCATAGTGCATTAATGAGTTTTTGAAAAAATTCAAAGCATTTTCCCAAAATGTGTGTCAATATAAGATTTTTCACCAAAAACTATTCCATTTGCTGAAACACAAAGAAATTCGTGGCCAAATTAAGACTCAATTTAACCTCAGAGCAACAGCAAATAAGGGTCCCTCTAAACAAGTCTATTCACTTAGTAGCCATTTATGCATCCTACCTGCTGCTCTCTCATTGGCCCGTGCCTCCATTTCAGTCTCCTGTAGCTGAGAGTCTAGGAGCTTGGTTTCCAGCTCCTTCTCTTTCAGTGCCAACTTGTCCTGGAGCTACAAACACACACACACATAACAAATATAGCATTATAAATGCGTCCAATGAGTAACAAACAGATTACCTGACTGGCAGGTAAATCGAAATTCCAGTTAGTCTACAAAATACTGGTAAATGATTTCTGCATGAAACTCCATATTTGATAATAAGGTTTGGAATCAGTGAGTAATTTTCTTAGTAATTCTTACAGTCTACAAAGGTGGTCATGTGATCATGTGACAGTAGTGGCCAAGAAAGATTTCCATCATCAACATTAAAAAAGTTGTGCTGCTAAACATTTTTGTGGAAACTTGAACAAAATTTTATTACGAATTTTATTTTGATTTTATTACGTCTAACTTGGATGAATAAAGTTCAAAAGAATAGCATTTAATTGAAACAGTAATAGACTAATGCTGAGCCTGGTTTCTCTCAAAGTTTTTTAATTCTTCACTTTTTTAGTTCTTCACTTTCGCCAATTGGAGAAGTTTGTTAGAACTGTAGAGCTGCGC